ATGTTAAATTTTATTGTAATTATCATTTGTTATAGTTTCAAAATACGTAACACAGCATGTGTGATAACATTTCCAAGGCTTTGGTAGCAGAGTGTGTTCATAGAAAGGCCATCTGTACTAACTCTAGCCACACATTAATGTGGACACGACACTCTAACTGGATGCAGGCTCCCAGGGGCCAGAGGCTGCTATGCTGTAAGAGAGTCAAGATCTTTGGTGTTAAGTTAGATGATTTGTTAGATGACTTTACAAGCTCCTTTTGGGCCCCACACACCTCAGTAGGTAGACAGGCATGGATCTGAAAATTATAAGTTTATACAATGTTTGGAAATTTGCTCATAGAGATCTTTAAAATCATATAGATAAGATTCAAATCAAACCTTGGCTTCCCCATTTACAAGGATGAGGCTAATGTCTAGTTTACAGAATTCTGAGGATTTGCTAGAAAAGAGCCAAGATGTCATCGGACATGCCAAAGGGGTCGCGACCCATAGGTTGAGAACCGCTGAGTTAGATGCTTTGTTAGATGACTTTACAAACTCCTTTTGGGCCCCACACACCTCAGTAGGTAGACAGGCATGGATCTGAAAATTATAAGTTTATACAATGTTTGGAAATTTGCTCATAGAGATCTTTAAAATCACATAGATAAGATTCAAATCAAATCTTGGCTTCCCCATTTACAAGGATGAGGCTAATGCCTAGTTTAAAGAATTCTGAGGATTTACTAGAAAAGAACCAAGATGTCGTTGGACATAAAATTGTCCCTGAGTAGATAAAATCACTTCTGATTCAGTGGCCACAATGTGAACCCATGGAATCAGTTTAGAAACAAAATAATACCCCGAACCAAAAAAGGCCTGGGATGTATCGCATATCCTAGAGCCTCTTCTAACTAGAGTGGACCTGGATGGCTCAGGCTACGTGCAACCAATGGGCTAACCTCAGCTAGGTGAGGGTCAGCCAGGCTGAGAACAAGGTGGAGAGAGCTGATGGAAAAGCTCCCGCAGCCTCTGGATTCATCAGCATCTGGAGCTGAGGGAACCAGTAAGCCCTGCTGATTATGACCTGCAGGCTGTGGTGGGTTTTGTTTGTTTGTTTTGGCACATAGTGTTTTTAAATAGATAAAATGCTAGTGTTTACAGACTAAAAGACAACCCCAAATCAGAACCTGTGGCTTCAGGAGATGTGGTCCTCGGGGCCTGCCCCCACAGGATGTGTGTGGGTGGGAGCTGAGAAGCACCTCTCCTTTACACCGAACTTCTCTTCTAGTCTTGCCCCGCCCTTGAGTTGTGACACATGCTTCCAATAACAAAACCTTCCTTTTGTGGCCCTGCCGGTGTGGCTCAGGGGTTGAGTGTCAACCCACTAACCCAGAGGTCACTGGTTTGATTCCCAGTCAGAGCACATGCCTGGGGTGTTGTGGGCTCAGTCCCTAGCGTGCAGGAGGCAGCTGATTGATGTTTCTGTCTCTCATTGATGTTTCTAGCTCTCTTCCCTCTCCCTTCCTCTCTCTAAAAAAGCAATAAAAACATATTTAAAATTTTTAAAATCTTTCTTTTGAGAAAATTGAGGTCATTTTGCTACTTAAGGTTATTTTGAATTTTTTAAATACAAATGATTATGAAACAAATGTCTGTTGTCTTCTATATTACTTTCATGGAGTCCTACCTCCAAGGCCCTATAGTCTACTTTTCATGAAGTCTTAAAAAGACGAGCAGTACTGACTAGGGTCGAAGGAAGTGCCATTTAGCAGTGATGTCCAGGAGATGAAAACCAGTTCAGCTTTGCAATCACTACAGTCATATACTAATGATAATGAGCAGTTCCTTTAATTAAAGCCTCATATTTTACGTGACTCTTATTTCGGTATCTTCAGACCTCTATTGAAAATGAGCAGGATTTTATGACTTTGTTTTGCATTAGTGAAAGGAATTGCCCATCGCTATTATTAACATTAACAAAATGAGAATAATATGATTTTGGATATTAACAGAGCAAAATGCAGGTCAGATGTGAATTTGCCCCTTCGATACCTCTTTCCCCATTTAAGAATATTTACTCTCTGGGTATCATCTAAGGCATTACATTCATGGAGGAAATGACTGAAAGTATTATATTCCGTGTAGTGCAAGTGTCTCCTTATCCACTGCCACATACTAAAATGTGGAAAGGTGTGTAGTGATCATGCACATAGAATATAGAAGATGAACAGTTAAAGTCTAGATCTCATGAATGATTATCCATTAATTTGAAGTCTTGCGTTGTCTCATGTAACTTCTTATTTTCTAGCGTCGTCTGTGTTGGTGGAGACGGTTCTGCCAGCGAAGTAGCCCACGCGTTGCTCCTTCGAGCCCAGCAGAGCGCCGGCCTGGAAACAGACCGCATCCTGACCCCGGCCCGAGCCCAGCTGCCACTCGGCGTGATACCGGCAGGCAAGGGAGCGGCCACAGCTTTGCTAAATGGACCCTCTCCTTCTATCCTTCCACCCTCCCCTGTTTTACTTTCTAGACAGTGCGATATAGAGTTAAACACGTAGACTTTGAGTCTGAAAGACCCAACCTTGGCATCTTCACTAGCAAGAATGTGAGGCTTGGACAAGTTATTTAATAGTTTTGAGCCTCATTTTTCTAATCCATAAAAGGGAGGTAACCCACGTAATATTCACTTCAGTACAAGGTTATTGTAATATTAAATTAGGAGGTATATGCAGAGAGTTGGATACATAGTGAACCATTCAATAAATGGGATTGTTGTTATTCTACCTTTCCATGTGAAGGTCTAATGATCACACGGTCCCAGATCATGAAATTTCAAAACAGGGCCACTCCAGTCAAGCTGCCGATGACTTCATGTGAGGGCAAGTGTGGTAACCCCCCTAATCAAAGTATACACAGGTAACCTTGACAACACCGAGAGGATTTATTCCGACTGCTATTTCTCCAACAGCTAGAACAGAATAGAACACGGCACAGCGAACACTCAACAATTAGGTTTATTAGGTGAATGAATGTAAGGATGATGTTCTAGAGTAAGCAACATTTGAATTAGGCCTAAAAATGGGTTCAATAGGTCTGGCCTGAAAAAAATGAGAATGAGCTGGGTTTTTGCCTGCAAAAGTAAAAAACAACAAGGCAAAAACCCAGGAATGTTGAGGAATAGAAAATGGATCATTTGTTGGGTGATTACGCTATCAAAATAGGCCCAAACTATGGTGGCTCCTGGATGCCATAGGAAGGCGTCAGGATGGTACTTGATAAACAGAAGGAAACAATGGAAGGTTCAGAGCAAGGGAGCAACTTGCTGGGAGCCTGTTCTAGGAAGATTCCTGATCAGGGGAAGGGAGCAGGAGAACATGGGGGTGAGAGGCAGGGAGAACAGCTGGAGCACACAGGATCCAGAAGGGAGGAGAGCACAGGGATCCAGAGAGAGGAAACATCTTCTGCGAGTTTATGATGTTATATGAGTCACTCCTTCAAAAATATTATTTAAACATACAATAGTGAAGGAAAGTGATTATTTCTTTTCATTTTTAAAAAAATCACACATTTCTCTAAAGAAAAGCAGAAAGAATTGTTCTTTCCTATGAAAACAGAAATAATGTACATGATTGAGAAAAATCAACCCATTTTGATACACAGGGATCCAGAAGGGAGGAGCGCACAGGGATCCAGAAGGGAGGAGCGCACAGGGATCCAGAAGGGAGGAGCGCACAGGGATCCAGAAGGGAGGAGCGCACAGGGATCCAGAAGGGAGGAGCGCACAGGGATCCAGAAGGGAGGAGCGCACAGGGATCCAGAAGGGAGGAGCGCACAGGGATCCAGAAGGGAGGAGCGCACAGGGATCCAGAAGGGAGGAGCGCACAGGGATCCAGAAGGGAGGAGCGCACAGGGATCCAGAAGGGAGGAGCGCACAGGGATCCAGAAGGGAGGAGAGCACAGGGATCCAGAGAGAGGAAACATCTTCTGCGAGTTTATGATGTTATATGAGTCACTCCTTCAAAAATATTATTTAAACATACAATAGTGAAGGAAAGTGATTATTTCTTTTCATTTTTAAAAAAATCACACATTTCTCTAAAGAAAAGCAGAAAGAATTGTTCTTTCCTATGAAAACAGAAATAATGTACATGATTGAGAAAAATCAACCCATTTTGATAATCACATTCATTTAGTATAGATTTCAGTATATTCAGCATTAATTGACAAAGAACAAAAGATATTTAAATGTCCTTTTAGAGTATGAAGTCTGTTATACAAGCAAGAATTTAAAAGGCTACTTGGATATACCTTGATAATTTTAAGCATATAGAGAAAAACCTGTGGTAGTCTTTAAGAAAAAGAGAACAAAACCTCAATTTAGAAAAAAAAAGATGCATTTGGGGCCAGCCACTTTGACATTTTTGTTTCGCTTTAGTAGCTCTCTGTCTAGAATGGTGGAACTTTTCCATGCAGAGGGGACCTGCGTAGGTCACTGTTTTTCTTCCTTAGTACCGTCCCTCATGAGGTCACTCTTTGGCTCCTGAGAATCAGAAGTGGGAAGATGGGCCTCCCCACAGCTGTGCATTTGACAGAAAGTGAATCGTTGGTTAGAAAAATTGGTGGCTATGCTTATTTTTTGAAACATGTAAGTCAGATTTTATAAAGGAGTAGCACCAAGTTTCATCATCACTCTTTTTAAGCATATCTGATTCTGAAAGCACTTTTTATATACAGTGGCCATGTAGAAATGCCATCCTAATACTCATTGTTTAGAAGAGACAGCCCGTTTCCCAAACGCTGGTCATTGTCCGGGACTTGCAGCGTATGGATCCCAGGTAACAGGAGGAGGAAGGCATGTCAGGACGTGTTTAATGTGAGGACTCTATGCCTACCCGGGGCTTTGGCAGCAGAAGAGCAGGAGCTAGGCCGGAAGTTTGCAAGCTGAACACAGAAGACCGTTTGCCTTCGAAGCCATTTGCCTCCTGGAGAGAGACACCCAGAGGGAAGGTGCTTAGTAAATGACTACACTGAGCCAACAGACTAAGCTGCTGAATTAGGGTCAGACTCAGATGGATCAGATGTGGAGAAGCCTGTATTTGAACTGCTGGCCATTAGCAATGGTGTTTGTTGCTATGGGAACTGGTGCTAAGGAACTATTAGGGAGAGATTTGGATTAAGGGGTGTGCCTGTGTGAGGTGGGGGAGAGGACAGAGAAAAAAGCTTGAGAGGACGTAAAAATAAAAAAAGCAATCCAGTTGTAAAACAAGGCTCGATCCACATACTGATGCCTGCAAACCATATCTTCCTATAGAATTCACATAAATAAATTCATGCTTTCCAATTAATTTGAGGAAAATTAAGTATTGCCAAGGGACTGTTAATTTCTACGATATTTCGGGCATGGAACCAACGTGTAGGTGCAGCTTTCCTGAGAATTTTAGATATGCTTGACTAGGAAGTCATTACATCACATTTATCTGTTTAGATGTGGGAGACATTAACGGCCTTATGAATATTCATGGTGTCTGGTTAATTAAGTTAATTGTTCTGCAGAAGTGCTTGCACTTCCAAGGACAATTTTTTTCCTTTTTTTTTCTTTTTGCCTCCTTGGCTTCTGCCTGGAGCTTCCATCAGTCATGCTCTACATGGACTCCGACGTCTGTCCTTACTCTGTAGCGGGCGCATTTTAACAGGTTTGGGAAGGTGGTGGTGAGTGAGCCGAGTTGCTGGTAACGTTAAGAAAAAGAACTTTTCAGGCTAATTAAAATGTTTACCTTGAAGTAGACCATTTATAGTTTTTCTGCGGATGCTAAAATCCCATAGTTGCTATTTATGTGAGCAGCATGTTCTTTTAGCAGGTAGACATCTTTTCAGATGAGTCACATTTTGTTTCAGCTCACTGTCCTCTATCTTGTAGATTATCCAAATAAAAATATAGAGCAGTCTAGAGTTTTACAATTTTGCACCCACTTTCCTCATGAACACCTCCCTCCCCGCCCCCATGGACTTTATTTATTTATTTATTTTTAATTTTTTTAAATCCTCACTCAAGGATATGTTGTTATTGATTTCAGAGAGAGAGGAAGGGAGAGGGAGAGGGAGAGAGGGAGAGAAACATCGATGTGAGAGAGAAACATCGATCAGTTGCCTCCCATACACACCCTGACCAGGGAACCAATACCCAATCTGGCTATGTGCCCTGATCAGGAATTGCACCTGTGACCTTTCAGTGTACAGGAAGATGCTACAACCAGCATCTGGCCAGGGCTGTTTTTTAATTTAAAAAAAATATTTTTTCAACTACAGTTCACATTCAGTATTATTTTGTATTAGTTTCAGGTATACAGCGTAGTGGTAAGACAATCGTATACTTTACAAAGTGTTCCCCTTGATATTTCCATGCATAATTACTACAATATTATTTCTTTTTAATGTAGAGCCTAAAACACCATCTTAAGGATTAAGGTCCAGGTTAATTAGAGTAGAAGATGACAAATAATATTCTGACTTCTGGTCATGCCTGTCATCACTGCCAAGTTCTATGGAATTAAGGGAAAGTTGCAAAGTTGAAAAGCCTTAGAATCATAGAAATAAAAATAGTGATCTCTAGCATTCTAAAAACAGTTGTGCTTGGGCATGCTTAGCATACTTCAAACTCACAGGGAATAAACAGGCTGTATTTTCTTGAGTCATGATATGTGTCATTCTCTATTGCACATGACAACAGTACATTATGCTTTTTAATAACCTTTCTAGAGGAATGCGTTTATGGCCATTCCTAATTAACCATGGTAATGGAGGAAATGTGTTTCATGGAGTACTGTAATCCATTGATAATCCTAAATATCTCCCTCTAATTATGTGGCCTCCTCCAAAATCTTCACCATAAATCTGACTGGGAAGCAAAATAGACTGATCTATTCCCTCCCTTCCCCGCCCCCAGTCCAGATTCATTAGCGATTAGATGGCCAAAAGGCAGGCTGTGAGGGTCACAGGGTTATTAAAGAGGACTAGGTATTTGACTCCTGGGTAGAGGTCCACTGAGTAACAGGTTTCTGGACCACTTGTTCTCAAACCTTAGGGGGCATACAAATCAACTCGAGAACTTGCCAAAGCAGGGACACCTCCCTGGGCCTCACTCCCAGACATTGCACTTCCATGGGTTGTAGGTGGAACCCAGAAGTTTGCCTTTTTAAGAAGCTCCCAAGTAGTGTCCATGCTGCTGCTCCCTGGACCATGCCTTCTAGGAGTGCCTGCCCAGGTTAATGTGTACGCACGTTACCCGAGGGTCCTGTACAACGCAGACTCTGAGTAGGGCCTGAGAGTAGGTCTTACTAAGCACCCTGGTATTGTCAGTTGCTGCCGGACCCTGGGCCATATTCTGAGTAACAAGGGTCACAGCATAACTTGCCTTTTGCTCAAGCGATTGGAGCCAGTTTACCAGTTGGTTAAGGTGGAGTTCTCTTTGCATTGGTGTTACTAGAGGTCTGGAAATCATTAATGATTAGATAGATCCCTAATGATGATTATTATTTTAATGATGGTTTGTTACCTCAGCTTTTCCAACTGAGCAACCCAAGCACACATAAATTCAAAGTGACGCAAATTGGAGAGATTAACAGGGGACCACACAGGAATATTTCTGATTCACAAATCCAGGGACAAATCTTTGCCTTGAAAGCCGCAGAACATAGCACATCCATGTTTCCACAGCCCTTGGCTGTTACAGGATTTCTTCCTCATATTCTTTAATTAAAGAAAAATTGTAGCTTCTTAAGTTTAAATGCTCTTTGCCTCGTGGGAATGGCAGGGACTAGCTGGTATTTCCCCCTTCAAAAGCAGACCTTTACCCCAGGATCTCAGAGACATAAATGCTCTAGGGGCCTGACTTGAGAGAGCTCTTTTCTCCACAGCCCTTGGCTGTTACAGGATTTCTTCCTCATATTCTTTAATTAAAGAAAAATTGTAGCTTCTTAAGTTTAAATGCTCTTTGCCTCGTGGGAATGGCAGGGACTAGCTGGTATTTCCCCCTTCAAAAGCAGACCTTTACCCCAGGATCTCAGAGACATAAATGCTCTAGGGGCCTGACTTGAGAGAGCTCTTTCCTTCTGAAGGTAAGAAAAATTCATGTGGATTTTAAATTACCTTAATGATTATGAAAATCAGAAATCTATAATGTCTCAATACAGATTTTCATACCATGGCAAATACCATGGAATTAAACATTTTCTTCATCTAGGATACCATTTGTCAGACAAAGAAGAATCCCTGTTTGGGTGAGAGCTTATCTCTGAGATTCATCAAATGTATTTATAGCATGCCCTTTGGACTTCGTAGTGATTGTGTGTGCTTTTCTTCTCTTAGAACCTGAAAAAGATTCAAATGGCAATTCCAGTAGTTGTAGGTAAAGATGGAGAGAAAGCAAAGATATTCATTATGGTATAAAGTAGCTTGAGATCTGAAAGTAAATAAATGTGCTCTTCTGTGTTTGCCATTTTGACAACTGGCACTCTTGCACAGTTGAGTAATATTTAATATAATATTCAAGGGCACATACAACCGGTCGATGTCTGCACCTTCAGTACCACTGGCAAGCTTCTTCGCTTCGGGTTCTCGGCCATGTTTGGCTTTGGTGGGAGGACTTTGGCTCTGGCAGAAAAACATCGATGGATGTCCCCTACCCAACGGAGGGATTTTGCTGTAATTAAGGCACTGGCAAAACTTAGGTAAGTCTTTTTTTTCTTAAACCAAGAATCTTTTATCTCAGAATCAGTGAGTGTTAATAACAAATTTCATTGTATTTTAGGCCAGAGGACTGTGAAATATCATTTTTACCATTTAACAGCTCTCCAGATTTACAAGAAAGGTAGGTAGAAAGCTCAAAGCAACATCTACATCTGTATCTTTCTTTAAAGCATAAAATAGTTTGATATAAACAGTTGGTTAGATTGTGATCTTTGGTTGCTTTTCTACCATACTAGTGAATAATATAGACTCATGGAGTCTTACAGATTCTAGTAGGCCATGTAGTCTGGTCTCTGTCTCCAGATACAACCATTAATTCATTCCATC